CACTCGAGGTACGTGACCTGCTCGGGCGTCAAGCGCTCGTCAAAGACCACGAGCGTGCTGTCGGAGGCAAACGCGGTGCCCTCGCCCGTCGTGATGACGCCACGGAGCGCCTTGGTCGACTTGTGGAAGTAGGCAGGCATCGCCTTGGCGACAGCCGTGCCGGCCGCGACCCAATTCGCCGCGTGGTTGGGCAACGAGAGCGCGACGACCGTGCTCGCCTCAACGTCGGCGGCGTGGGCCTTGACAAGCGCCATGATCGCATGCGGGCGCGCCTTCGAGTTGTGGCGCGAGACCGCCGTCGGGAGCTGCGCGACGACAAGGCTCAGCATCTTGTCGTCGTCCAGCGGCACATAGAGGTGCGCCGACGCCGCGTTGTCGGTCGACGGCGAGAGCTCGGCGATCGCATGCGCGACGAGCGCCAGCGTCGCGGGCTCGAGCGCGGCGCCAGCAAGGTGCTCAAGGACGCGCTGCACAAGGTCGAGGCCGGGTGTCTCGGTCGTGCCAATGAGCAGGACGGTCGGGAGCGTGTTCTCGGACGGCAGCGCGGCCACCGTCTCCACGTAGCGCACCATAGTTCGTTCTGCGTCTGTGGTTCTCTTTCGAGGAATGGCCGACGGTTCCGTGATGGCACAATTTGCCAGCTGGCACGCGCCGACCAACCACAAGCCGAATGGCGCCAATGGCAACATGTCCCGTTGGTGTCGAGTCATTTGGACACCTTTGGCATACTGCGCCCAAGACAATATGAGGCCACCGCTAGTCCTGTTCCGAGGCAGAAAGCAGGTGGCGTCGAGGAGGATCGGCCGCCAGACGCTCGACCCAAACGCTGTGGTGGCCTTTCTGCGGCCGTTGCTGGCTTCTGGTTTCTAGGATCTGGTTTCTAGGATCTGGTTTCTAGGATCTGGGGACGTGGTGCGAGCTACCCACGATGCGAGACGCACTTGGTTGACCGAGAAGAAGACGCAGCATCAAAAACACACACAAGTGGTACATCATACGTATCTAGGGCACGCTTCTTAGGCGTCGCGCTTGGCCGACTGGTTCATCATGCTCTGCGTCTGCTGGAGGGTCTTGCCAGTGGCCTCCGTCTTCTTGAGGAGGTCCAAGAGCGCGTTGTGGATGTTGGCTTGGGCGGCGTTCGACGAGTACGTTGTTGGCGGCGCCTGGACGTTCGAGTACCCGACGGGGTTGACGTAGTGCGCGCGCTCCTCAAGGAGCCGCGTCACGTGGTTCGAGAGCCGCTTCATCGTCGCGACCTGGCCCTGCGTGATCCCGTCCTTGACCTTCGCGTCGGCCACCGCGAGTGCGCCGACGATAAAACCGTCGTTCGTGACGAGCGGAAAGCCCACAAAGAAGCTAGAGGCACAGTATGTGGCAACCCTTTGCAACAGCTTGTCCTGCGTACCGGAGGCCATTTTCCGTCACGAGCGGGTTGTCCTTGAAGCGAGCGTCCAGCGTCAGGTTGGGCACGGCCATGACCTAAGAAGCATGCCATCGCGCGTCCAGATACACATGCGTGCTCGCTACCTCGTACGACATGATGGCGTGGGCCGTGAGCGAAATATCGCGGGGCACGGCGGCGGACGCAGCCATGCCGTAGCACGCCTTGACCCACTCACGCTTGTCGTCGATAAAGCTAACAAAGCCAAACGCGGTGCCGAGCGCTTCCGCCGCCGACTGTGCAATGTGGTTGAATTCCTACATGCCGCCGGGATCCATATTGACATCCTAATTCTTTCAGACCGAGCACGACGGACCTGCTCCATGGGGGTGTCCAGAATGCGCAGCTCGTCGAGCTTGCGGAGGCGCGGTGCTTCGTCCGACGGGATGGGTGCCAAGGGCCACTTTTGCTTCTCTGTGTACGTGAGTTTGTACAGATACGGCTTGACAGGCATTGACGACGACGCGTGCGACACCATGTTGAGCGGGATAAAGTCGGCCGACGTGCCGTGGCCCGTAAACTCGTCTGCTTCGTCGAACGACTCTTCGATGGTGCCGCCCATCTTGCCGTTTGCGGTCTGCGAGAACGACCCCATGTTGGACGTGGCGAGCGACGACGACATGGACCTACGCGACGCGTGGGATGAGACGGACGTGTCATGGATGAAGGTACCGGGAGCCCAGGACGGACGAGGATGCGGCCGACGCTGAGAGATCGCCGGAAATCGACATTTCATCGCTGTCGTCGTCTGAGTCGATGCAGTTGGGCACGGCGGAGAGGTTGCTCATGCCGTGCGAGAGCCGCTCCATGACCTGCACGTGCTGGTGGTGGTGGTACGTGTGGCCTAGGTCGATTGCCGATTGCATATCGCAGTTTTGTCACGTTGAACGTACCGTCGTTCGAGTCAAAGGACGAGTGGTGCGACGACGTGGGTGCGGGCGGGAGGCCGCCGAGGGACCCCAGCGTCGGCTTGGGCACCATGGGCGGTGGGCCCGGGTTGCTGCTCCGCGACGAATCGTTCTCGGTGAGGCACCGGTTGCAGATGCGGACTTGGCAAAGCCCGACGACAGGCAACTTGACGGCCGTGATCGTTGCGCACTTGGAGCAGGTAATGTCGCCACAGAGGCGGCAGTGGTGGCGCCGGCGAAAGGGGCCAAACGACTCGCGGCAGATGAAGCAGTACGACCGGTCCTTGTCGTTGACCCAGTTCTTGCTCTTGATGAAGCCCGAGGCGGCAATGCGCAGCGCGAGAAAGATATTTTCGAGCCGCGCAACGCTCGAGACGAGGCTCAGAATCGCCTTCTTATAGCCACGCGAGATGCCCCGCGGATCGTGCGCCGACCAGCTGAAAATGACTTCGAGGACGCCCTTCTTCGTCGTCGGGTACACGATGAAGCCCGACGGAAGGAGCTGGCTCACATAGTCAATGTCGTTGGCCGTGCCAAGGACCGGGCCCCGCTTCGGCGGCTCGGCGACGTCGGTCGAGTACATGAGCTGGATGCCGAGCCGGTTGTCGACGCCCGTCTCGTCGGGCTTTTCGTCCGTCTTGCCCGTGCGGATCGTGCAATAGTCGACGACCGAGTACTGACGCGCTTTGTCCATGGCATTGAACGGCCGGAACGAGATCATCTTGACGCTGCACTGCTCGCGGCAGACGCCTACCAGTACGTACGTGTCATGTCATTGCGCGCATGTCCATTGCGTGCTACCGGTCGGATCCCGCTTGGCGGGCAGCGTCGCAAGCACGGCGCCGTCAGCGAACGTGTCGTCGTGCAGCTGCGAGAAGAGGTTGCCGAGCGCCATGCTGTCTTCGCAGTAGAGCGTCCGCATCGTGTCGTCGAGGTCGGCGACGATGCGCGTGATGGCGTTGATCGTGTACGTCGTCCCGTCCGAGCTCTTCTTCCGGTAGAACTGCACGTTCTTCTTCTCCGAGATGAACTCCCATTCATGGAGGTCGCTCAGCGAGTTTTGCAGGAAGGCCACCGCGTGGTTCCGCGACGTGTGGTACCTAGCACACCATGAGCCTCCATGGCGCCGCCTCATGCGCCTACAGCTCCGACTGCTGGGACTCGTTCAGGTACAGGGGCCGCGGGGCCGCGGCTGCGGCGATCGGGGCCTGGATCATGCTGCGTCTCGCGATGGCGGTCAAGAGAAGAATCTGACGCTACCAAGTGGCAGCGCCACGCTCATTTTATTCTTTCCAAAAGGCAATCTCATACAAATATATATATGAAGAGGTGCCAACGCGCATTAAAATACCGCCTCGCCTTCGCATTGCCGACGAGGATGAAACCATCCGGTTGTACATATCCTTTTCCGGACTGCGAGCGACGGTCGTAGTGGGCGTGAGTAATGAGGCGAGGGGCAAGGCCGCGCGATGGAGGCTTCGCCGACGGCGCCGTGGCGATAGGCGGCGCCGAGATGCGCAGCGTCTGGCCAAGGCGTGTGGCCATCGGCGAGGCGGGTACATATCGCGATGGACGACGGCGGTCGCACGGTCGGCGCAAGTGACGTCAGTGTGCATGTAACATCGAGACAGGGCAGCCGCGCGAATGGCGATCGTTGGCGTTGGCTGCATTGCATGCAGAGGATAAGACGACGACGACGACGACGAGGGCAAGAAAGAGTGCTTTGGCGACAACGTACTTTACTGATACGTTTATAATCTCACATGTATATTGCAATCCAAATGTACAGGAACGAGGAGGAGGAGAGCGATGACGGCGTTCGTGGGTTTCTAAAGCTCGATCTTCTCGGCAAACTCGTCTTCGTCCTTGGCCGGCGCGGCCGTCTTGACACCGCTTTCAACGAACGCCACCTTGACGGGCAGCTCAACCTCGTGCGACTTGATCGTGAGCGACGACGGGTACTGGGCACCGTAGTGGATCGTGAGCTTCGTCGCGAGGTTCTCGCTGTCACGGACCGCAAACGACGGGTACTCGGAGCCCGCAATCGTGACGCGAAGCTGGTGGTCGTGCGGGAGGAGGTACGACGTCGGGAGGAAGTTGAACGTCGCCTCGTAGATCGTTTCGGGCTCAATGACGCGGGCGTCGGCCTTGCGGAACGTGCGCAGCGGCGAGCCCGGAGCGACCGACTTGTGCATCGGGTTGACGTTGCCTTCGGTGATGTACGTGATACCGCCGCGCACCTTGGCGCCAGCAACCACGCGCTGGTCAATGGGCGCGACACCGTTGACGTCTTCGAGGTACGCAAAGAGGTTCACGACGGGCTTGTTGGCCGAGAAGAAGACCTTGAGCGTCATCTCGCCCGTCAGCTCGGCGACGTGCAGCGGCGGCGAGACGAACGAGATGAGGTCCTTCTCGAGGCCGTCACGGTTGTGTGCGTACGACGGCTTGTTGAGGAAGATGTGGTCGAGGAAATGCCAGCGCGTCGTGACACCCGAAAGCGTCTCGGAACCCGCCTTGATGTCGAGCGCCTGCTCGCCATCAATCACTTCGCTGAGGTCTTCGACCATCTTCTTGTCGTCGCTAAAGTAAAGCGTCTGCGTCGTGTCGATCAAAGCCGGCGGCCACGCCGTCGTCGTCTTCCACTTTTGTTCGCCCATGGTAAAGTAGTGGATCGGCTCTTCGACGTCAATGCCCGAATCCTGGCGACGTTCCGGGTACGTGTGGAAATCGAGGAACCGAGAGACCTCGACAATCGTATCAAAGCAGCGGGTCTTGGCCTCGGCAAACGGGTCGACGTTGTCGACGTTGGCGTGGCTCCACGGACCCATGATGAGGCGGTACTTGGTCGCCGGCACGTCGCCGACCTCGACCGCGTCCAAGCCGAGCGCTGCGAGCGTCGCCGCGTCCATCTGGCCGGTCAAGTACTGGTGCAGCCAGATCGACGAGCGCGTCACACCCGTGTCAAAGTAGCCCGAGAGGCTGAGGATCGCGACGGGCGACTTGGCGAGCTTGGCGAAGAGGCGGCGCGCGTCAAACTGCTCAAACGTGGCCGGGATCGTCGCAAACGAGTCGTCACGGAACGTGATCGCTTGGAGCTCGTCAAAGAGGACCGGGTTGGCCTTGTGCGGCGCGACGGCCGCGGCCATGACGTTCGGCTCGGACGTGTTGACGGGGTAGACGTTACCGCCAAAGTTCTTCATCATGAGACGCGCCTTGAAGCTCGGGACGCCCTCCCAGCGGTAGTTGTTGTCGGTCGCGTGGCA